TTACTGGCTAGCTAGGTCTTCATCTGTCTGGTGTTAGCTAGTTACTGGCTAGCTAGGTCTTCATCTGTCTGGTGTTAGCTAGTTACTGGCTAGCTAGGTCTTCATCTGTCTGGTGTTAGCTAGTTACTGGCTAGCTAGGTCTTCATCTGTCTGGTGTTAGCTAGTTACTGGCTAGCTAGGTCTTCATCTGTCTGGTGTTAGCTAGTTACTGGCTAGCTAGATCTTCATCTGTCTGGTGTTAGCTAGTTACTGGCTAGCTAGGTCTTCATCTGTCTGGTGTTAGCTAGTTACTGGCTAGCTAGGTCTTCAGCCAGCATGGTACAAAGGGGGGGGGGGGGGGGGGATAGTTCAAAACTCTGACGCAGTTGTCATGTCAACACATCCGTCAGTGCTGCTGTGAACCACATCACAAGAGACATTTTTGACATCATTGATGCAATTTCGATGTTGTTTGAGTTGCTTTGTGGATCACCAAATTTGCTTGAGATGATTTTACTGCAACACTGCATCCAAGTTGCTTGACATTTCAAAGAAAAATATAATGAATATAAGCTCCCCGCCCACTCAGCCTGTCTTTTCAAACTTCCTGGTAGTTGGCCATGAGAGAAAAAGTACTTTTTCTCAAATGTTTTATAATTTCTATCCAAAACAAATATTATGGGTGATATTTTAGTCAGTCAAAAGGCTATTTTAGATGGGATTCAGAATGACTGTTCAGGACCTTTAAGGAATAAAGGTACCGTTTGGCTCCTTAGGAGTACATCTTGGGCTAGCTACAACCCATATCTAGCTAACGTTAGGCTCCTTAAGAGTACATCTTGGGCTAGCTACAACCCATATCTAGCTAGCGTTAAATACTGGTAGACTCCTGTCGGTAAAAATGGCGTCCCTTAAGAGGGCAAGAACGAGATATGGAGGAGAAGTATACTTGGAATACGGAGGAGGAATGGAGGGAAAAAGAGGCAGAGAAGGTCGGAGAGAGGGAGGAAGAGGGGGAGCTTGAATCAGTTAAAAATGGCGGGAAAAAGGGAGATGGTTTGTCGATGAAGAATGGTAGAAAGTGTTAGCAGAGTGAGCTGAAGACAGGAGGAGAAATGGAAGAGAATGAGGGTGAATTATCGAAGGTGGCAGGTGTGGTGAAGTTCTCTGAGTGCGAGGCTTGCACCGATAGTCAGGATAAAGATGCGTCCGTGACGGTAGGAGTGACATTTTTGGGAAAGTGGACCCTTTTCTTTTGGCTGACTCATTTGTGGTTTCAGGGTGGGTGAAAACGGAGTTGGGTGCTGTGGAATCGGTGAGGGTAACCAGAAGTGGTTTCTGATGTGTTTCTGCTGGTCAGAGGGAGAAGGCGCACCGTGTTAAACCAATGGGGACAAGAGATGTGAATTGTTTTGCTCTCAAGAAAAGGGCGCCATTGAAAGGAGTGATTACTGGGGTAGCGGTAAATGTGAAAGTGGATCAACTGAAGGGGAAGATTCCCGGTGTTTGTGATGCTCGTCGTTTGGTGCGACGCAGACAGGGTGGCGTGAGTGGTGAAAGAGAAGATTCTGTTATTTTCAGTTTTGATGTTGAGCCTTTGCCTGACAAAGTGATGTTAGGATATTTCAGTTATCCTGTACGAGCTTTGTGCCAAATACATTACGTTGTTACAGGTGTCAAGCTTATGGGCATGTGGCAGCAGTGTGTAGAAGGGAGGGTCCTAGATGTGAGACGTGTGCAGAAGGGCATGAGACAAAGGAATGTGTAGCATTGGGGATAGTAGTGGTATGTGTTAATTGTAGGGGTGTCCATGGGGCTGGGGATCAGAAATGTCCGGTGCGAGAGAGGCAGGTTGAGGTTACCAGGGTTAGAGTAGTGCAGAGTGTGCCGTATGCTGAGGCAGGTTGAGGTTACCAGGTTTAGAGTAGTGCAGAGTGTGTCGTATGCTGAGGCAGGTTGAGGTTACCAGGTTTAGAGTAGTGCAGAGTGTGCCGTATGCTGAGGCAGGTTGAGGTTACCAGGGTTAGAGTAGTGCAGAGTGTGTCGTATGCTGAGGCAGGTTGAGGTTACCAGGGTTAGAGTAGTGCAGAGTGTGTCGTATGCTGAGGCAAGGAAGACAGTAGAAGATGGGTTAAGGGGGAGGGATCCTGAGAGGATTTGGGTGTGTAGAAGATCTGTACCAGTACAGAGGGATCGGCCAATGAGTGATATACATATGCTTCAGTAAGATTGGCTTTTTAGCATTTATAGCAATGGTTATCAACTGTACTGCAGGGATGGAACATAAGTTGCAGAAAATAGAGGTTGTGGTGGCAGCTGCAGAGAAGTATTTGGGTGTAGGAGATTTGACGTCAGAAGAGTTACAGGGTGTGTTGAGTGGTGGTGTCCAGTCCATTCAAACTGTTGGCCTGAGGTAGGACTAGATAGGTTAAAATAATGGAGTAGGGTGGTGGGTTTTTAATGCGTTAGAGACTGAAAATATTTGGCATGGGTCCCCAGATCCTCAAAAAGTTACACAGCTGCACCATTGCGAGCATCCTGACCGGTTGCATCACCACCTGGTATGGCAACTGCTCGGCCTCCGACCGCAAGGCGCTACAGAGGGTAGTGCGTACGGCCCAGTACATCACTGGGGCCAAGCTTCCTGCCATCCAGGACCTCTATACCAGGCGGTGTCAGAGGAAGGCCCAAAAAATTGTCAAAGACTCCAGTCACCCAAGTCATATACATTTCTCTCTGCTACCGCACTGCAAGCGGTACCGGAGCGCCAAGTCTAGGTCCAAATGGCTCCTTAACAGCTTGCAACCCCAAGCCATAAGACTGCTGAACAATTAATCAAATGGCACCCGGACTATTTACATTGACCCCCCCCTTTGTTTTTACACTGCTGCTACTCGCTGTTTATTATCTAAGCAGTCACTTTACCCCTACCTACATGTACAAATTACCTCGACTAACCTGTACCTCGGTACCGGTACCCACTGTATATAGCCTCGTTAATGTTATTTTATTGTGTTACTTTTTATTTTAGTAAATATTTTCTTAACTCTATTTCTTGAACTGCATTCTTGGTTAAGGGCTTGTCAGTAAGCATTTCACAGTAAGGTTGTATTCGGTGCAAGTGACAAATAAAACTGGATTTGATAGCAGGTTATTTGTTTATTTATTTCCGTTTTTCCAAGCAAAGTATAAGGGAGGTTTGTTTGTTGTTTTAGTCATTTAGCAGACGCTCTTATCCAGAGCGACTTACAGGAGCAATTTGGGTTAAGGGCCTTGCTCAAGGGCACATCGACAGATTTTTCACCTAGTCGGCTCGGGGATTAGAACCATTATACTCCAGTCTAGTAGGTGGCAGTAATACAACATGCATTGGATGCCAACAGCCTTAAGACCTAATCGAAGAAGAACATTAAATAATTCAATTGAACTGCCAATCATATTGGCTACTCCACGACGTTAGGACATACGGGAACCCCAACTGGCTAGCTAACTAAATCACTCGTTGGAAATAGTCGGCTAACAGCTGGTAGTCGTTAGCTAAACTAGCTAGCTACCCACGCCTATCTTGGGCGCTGACCTCGCAGTTCTTCATTTAAAATTAATTTAAAAAAAACTAATCAAAGCTCACAAAACATATTTACGAGCTTAATAGAAGACGGCTAGCTAGCTAGTAAGCCTGCTGGTTGTCTAACATTAGTTTGTTATTGATAGCATGTCCGCTAACAATAATACAGCTAGGACGGTTCCAATCATCTGCCGAAAAGGTTGAACCAAACTTTTATTTTGTTTCAATGTACTTACGTGTCAGAGCATAATAAGAGGTTGTGTTTCAGATGAATGTGTGTCAACTACTTGTCACTTATCCAGTGTCCACAAAACTTCCAGGAGGAAAATGATTCTGATCGGGTCAACCAGAAATGACAGCCTGCCAGTTTAAAGGGAACGCGACAGTACTCTTAAAGGCAAAATGTGTTATTACGCCGATAAACATTTCGGCAAAGAAAGATTTGCCTTTATTCAATACAGTGTACTACATGCATTGATGGGTCTGTTTTAATTGAGTTGATGAGTGTAGATTAATGCAAACCTTCTTTATGGACACCATTCTGCAGAAATGTTTGTGGAAATCCAGTCGTTATCTTCATATCATATGAATGATCATTGTAAACTTGTAAGTATATTAATCAGAACCAATACTTAGCCCAAATAGTTGTAAAGTGTTTTACCTACCTGCTAACTGCCACACCAGTTCAGCTCTCAATCCACTCTAACTGGGCCCCATATCACCCACAGGAGTATCCAGGAAGATGCAACTTTACAGAACATTCATATAGAAATGTATGTTTATAGAATAACCATGAATGTCATGCAGCAGAATATGTCCTCAGCAGCTCTGTGTTTTACTTGGAGTACTGGTATATGTGAATCATAGTTAGTGTACTGGTATGTGATTAACCACGTCAGGGGGTCAGAGTTTAAGTATTTTTTTTACGGTAATCCCAGTCCTCATACTAACATCACATGATGAGGGTGTGATAGCCTCCGTCCCAAATCCCCTCTCACACGCTTCAATACTTCATCTGGATCCACAATGAAACATTCATCAGAGGACCCTTATAACACACACACACACATACCTCCCCTCACAGGTTCACACACATCAGACAGCTTCAGCCTCACACCCTTTATTCAGTGAACTGATCTACATTCCACAGCTGGGATGGTGCTGCCTTCCTTCCTACTGACGTCTTCTTCAAAAATATGGGAAAAGTTATTCAAAATGGAAAAGAGATTATAATATAATAATAATATATAATAATATAATATGCCATTTAGCAGACGCTTTTATCCAAAGCGACTTACAGTCATGCGTGCATACATTTTTGTGTATGGGTGGTCCTGGGGATCGAACCCACTACCTTGGCGTTACAAGCGCTGTGCTCTACCAGCTGAGCTACAGAGGACCACAGGATTGCTGTACACTTCTGACTTTAGTATGCATAGACCTTCACTTTATGGACTTCTCTGTCTGCACATTCTCTTTTTCTGTTGTAGTAATAGAATGTGTTGTCTCGACGCTGAAGCTTCTTCACAAACCCAGTCTCAGGCCACCTGTCAATCTAAGACAAAGAAGCAATTCCATAGTGACACATTCATCTTGTAATGAACCAACTGTCAGTGGCAATGCTTTTAGCCAGTGATTAAGGATTCATTTAAGTTGTTTACCAAGTCAACTTGCTTTACTTGTTTGTATTCCAGTTCATCTCTGTAGCCTGCCTGTTGGAATCTGTATAAGTTCTCCACCTCGTCAGTCCATTGTTTGGCTCTGCTCATGGACTTTGGCGTTGCGTTGCCATCTAAGTATGCTGCACAAGACATTGTGCTGCAGAGAGGATGTCCACAGGCGACCTACAGGAGCAAATAGTGGGCTCAATTAGCCAAGTTCAAGTTTCTCTATATAACCACATGACAGTCATAGACACTGAAATACATATGGACAAAATAAATAAACAGTAAAACACTATTTAAAAAGAATGGCAATTACATAGTAGGTTATATGGGGAGGGGGATCCTCTAATGTTCATTAGGTGGCAGAAGTAGGGTATGGCGGATATTCAATTTCTCTCCGTTCTCCTGTCCTGGGGATAGAGAGCAGCTGGGTGCAGCAGGTGGTTCTGCCTGTCACTTGACAGATCGCCAGTCTCGGTACAGGAAACTGTAGAGGGAGACCAGGCAGAACTGCTCTCTTCATTCTTACACGCTAACCATCTTAATGGCGAAAAAATACAATCTACATATTTCTCGAGCTGATTTCAGTTTCAATATTTGGCTGAAACCAATCAAATTGAATTTGCACACTTGACACTAACGTTGCCAAACGTACAGTTGCTAGCTAGCTAACGTTAGCTAGCTAGCCAAGATTAGAATTAACCCAAACATGTTAGCACTAGCTTCAGGCTATGGTAGATATAATATAGAAGTCACAATTACGAAAATAGACTGAATCTGGCTAGCTATACATTTTTTCTCAATTTGATTAAGTAGCTAATACCACGTTACTTACAGCTGTATCGGGCAAGACTCACAAGTCTCAAGTGTTGATGATGAGGTAGCTTGTCCTCAGTAGCCTAGCAACCCAAACCTTCCTTCTAGGTCAAATTGAGATCCAATGCTGGCAGTGGCAACGTTTTGTTTCGGCTCCCATCCACTAGGTGGCTTAGTTAGCTAGTCAAGTCTCCCGACCAAAATCAGCACAAATGTCACCTAGCAGCAGTCAACGAGAGGGTGGGAGTTTCGAAAATATTGGAGCTAATCTTCAATCAAAATGAGTTCGTTCGCCGGTCGCATGAAGGAGTATCCCAACATGTCGCTGGACCGTTTTGACAGGGAGAATCTACATGCAAGGGCTTATTTTTTATCTCACTGTCATAAAGGTAAAGAAATACTCTTTGAAATACAGTGAGCCAAACAGCAGTTAGCTAGCTAAAGATAACTAGCCAGGATTTGCTCTAACGTTAACTGTTACACAGTGTACATGTAACTAGCTAGCTACTTATCTGTCATGTATTCTCTGCAGATCACATGAAGGGACTGAAGGGGCCTCTGTTGAAAAGAAAGTTGAAATTCAGGTGATTTCACAACGTTTTATTTTGATGGTCTGAAAGTTCAATGAAAAGTTTCAAGCTTGTACAAGGCTGGCTAACTGATGTTGTTAATGGCCTAACGTTACTGTCTGTTCATTTGTTCCAGTCTGACAGTCAAACTGTACTGTTCATTTGTAACTAAGGAACTGTTGCTCAGCAATCCAAAATATGCCTTCTGGGAAGATCACATAGTAAGTAGCTAGTTGTCTAAAATCATTCTGAATACTGAACACTGGTTATGGACGTATTGCTAGGTAAGCTTTGTTTTGTTTGATTTGATTTGACATGCTTCTGTTTGTCCAGGTTGCTTTGGAACTGGAGAGTCCCACACTAATCACTTTGATAGATGAGGCTTCAGGAGAGGTACAACACTGGTTCATCATTACAACACATATAGGGTCATATTGATAGATGAGGCTTCAGGAGAGGTACAACACTGGTTCATCATTACAACACATATAGGGTCATATTGATAGATGAGGCTTCAGGAGAGGTACAACACTGGTTCATCATTACAACACATATAGGGTCATATAAGGGCTGATCACTGTTAGTTTGCTACATGACCGCCTCGTTGATGACTGATAATGTGTGTGTCCACAGAGGGAAGAGCTTGTGGTGACTCTGCTTCCTGCAGGTCACTGTCCAGGCTCCGTCATGTGAGTAGTGTGTGTGTGTGAGCATGCGAGCGTGTGTGTGTGTGTTTATGTGGTAAAATGACCTATCACCTAGCTGGTGTGTTTGTGTGTGTGTTAGGCTTGGGTGATATACCCTATATAGCTACCGTATACCGGGGTATTTAGAAATACTGACAGTTGGATATTTTTGTGGGGCGGCCTTCTAAAGCTCTGAATCTCGTGGGGCTTCGTGCTACGCCACTGCTTATAACTATAAGTTAACTAACTAAGATGTACCAAGTAAAGGATCTCCAGCCAGGGATCCAGCTCTGCGTTTGGTTTGCTAACTTGCTAGCTAAACATTAGACGGCAAGATCAAGCTTCTTGGTTACAGCAGACACAATCAATGTCTGGATCCAAATCCCTGCTGTCTTAATATTTGTTTTGTGCGTGCAGCAAACTGTGAGTAGCCTTTTGAGATAGTTGTAGAACTTTATGAGCTGGGTCGTCTGTCCTTGCAATTCGTTTATGTGCGCTTGTTAGCATTTAGCTAGCGTCCGCTATGGGAATTCGCTAGTAATTTGTAAGCATTTGTTGGGACCCCAACTGAAAACATTAGGAACACCTGCTCTTTCCTTGACAGACTGACCAGGTGAATCCAGGTGAAAGCTATAATCCCTTATTGATGTCACTTGTTAAATCCACTTCAATCAGTGAAGGGGAGGAGACAGGTTAAAGAAGGATTTTTAAGCCTTGAGACAATTGAGACATGGATTGTGTATGTGTGCCATTCATGGGGGGGGGGGGTGCAACTCAATATTATGAAGGTGAGTGTACGAAACATTAAGAACAACTTCCTAATATTGAGTTGCACCCTTGATACACACAGGAAACTGTTGAGCGTGAAAAACCAAGCAGCGTTGCAGTTCTTGACACAAATCGTTGCACCTGGCACCTACTTCCATACCCTGTTCAAAGGCACTTCAATCTTTTGTCTTGCCCATTCACCCTCTGAATGGAACACATACACAATCCATGTCTCAAGGCTTAAAAATCCTATATATATATATATATATATATACAAGTTGGCTTGAACTTTTAAAATGGCACACCTGTTAATTGTATATATATATATATATATATATATATATACAATTAACAGGTGTGCCTTTTTAAAAGTTCAAGCCAACTTGTGGGAGGTGCTTCAGGAAGCATGGGGTGAAATCTCTTCAGATTACCTCAGCAAATTGACAACTAGAATGCCAAAGGTCTGCAAGGCTGTAATTGCTGCAAATTTTTTTTATTTTATTTTTTTAGTCATTTAGCAGACGCTCTTATCCAGAGCGACTTACATGAGCAATTAGGGTTAAGTGCCTTGCTCAAGGGCACATCGACAGATTTTTCACCTAGTCGGCTCGGGGATTAGAACCAGCGACCTTTCGGTTACTGGCACAATGCTCTTAAACACTAAGCTACCTGCCGCCCCAAATGGAGGATTCTTTAATGAAAGCAAAGTTTGAAGGACACAATTATTATTTCAATTAAAAATAATTATTTCTAACCTTGTCAATGACTACATTTCCTATTAATTTAGCTATATTTCCTATTCAAACTAATTTCATGTATGTTTTCATGGAAAACAAGGACATTTCTAAGTGACCCCAAACTTTTGAACGGTAGTGTATATATTCATTCATTCAGTGACTGACAGTAATACCGTATACCCCGGTATGGTACAGGAACAATATAAAGGTATGCTAATCTGGTTATCACCCAACCCTAGTGTGTCTGTAGGTTATCGCCCAACCCCAGTGTGTGTGGGTTATCACCCAACCCTAGTGTCTGTAGGTTATCACCCAACCCCAGTGTCTGTAGGTTATCGCCCAACCCCAGTGTGTGTAGGTTATCACCCAACCCTAGTGTGTGTGGGTTATCACCCAACCCCAGTGTGTGTGGGTTATCACCCAACCCTAGTGTGTGTGGGTTATCACCCAACCCTAGTGTGTGTGGGTTATCACCCAACCCTAGTGTGTGTGGGTTATCACCCAACCCCAGTGTCTGTAGGTTATCACCCAACCCCAGTGTCTGTAGGTTATCGCCCAACCCCAGTGTGTGTGGGTTATCGCCCAACCCTAGTGTCTGTAGGTTATCACCCAACCCTAGTGTGTGTCTGTAGGTTATCACCCAACCCTAGTGTGTGTCTGTAGGTTATCACCCAACCCCAGTGTGTGTGGGTTATCACCCAACCCCAGTGTGTGTCATCACCCAACCCTAGTGTGTGTCTGTAGGTTATCACCCAACCCCAGTGTGTGTCTGTAGGTTATCACCCAACCCTAGTGTGTGTCTGTAGGTTATCACCCAACCCTAGTGTGTGTCTGTAGGTTATCGCCCAACCCTAGTGTGTGTGGGTTATCGCCCAACCCTAGTGTCTGTAGGTTATCGCCCAACCCTAGTGTGTGTGGGTTATCACCCAACCCCAGTGTGTGTGGGTTATCACCCAACCCCAGTGTGTGTGGGTTATCACCCAACCCCAGTGTGTGTGGGTTATCACCCAACCCTAGTGTGTGTGGGTTATCACCCAACCCCAGTGTGTGTGGGTTATCACCCAACCCCAGTGTGTGTGGGTTATCACCCAACCCCAGTGTGTGTGGGTTATCACCCAACCCTAGTGTGTGTGGGTTATCACCCAACCCTAGTGTGTGTGGGTTATCGCCCAACCCTAGTGTGTGTGGGTTATCACCCAACCCCAGTGTGTGTGGGTTATCGCCCAATCCTAGTGTGTGTGGGTTATCGCCCAACCCTAGTGTGTGTGGGTTATCGCCCAACCCTAGTGTGTGTGGGTTATCGCCCAACCCTAGTGTGTGTGGGTTATCACCCAACCCTAGTGTGTGTGGGTTATCGCCCAACCCCAGTGTCTGTGGGTTATCACCCAACCCCAGTGTGTGTGGGTTATCACCCAACCCTAGTGTGTGTCTGTAGGTTATCACCCAACCCTAGTGTGTGTCTGTAGGTTATCACCCAACCCTAGTGTCTGTAGGTTATCACCCAACCCCAGTGTGTGTGGGTTATCACCCAACCCTAGTGTGTGTCTGTAGGTTATCACCCAACCCTAGTGTGTGTCTGTAGGTTATCACCCAACCCTAGTGTCTGTAGGTTATCACCCAACCCTAGTGTGTGTCTGTAGGTTATCACCCAACCCTAGTGTGTGTCTGTAGGTTATCACCCAACCCTAGTGTGTGTCTGTAGGTTATCACCCAACCCCAGTGTGTGTGGGTTATCACCCAACCCCAGTGTGTGTCATCACCCAACCCTAGTGTGTGTCTGTAGGTTATCACCCAACCCCAGTGTGTGTCTGTAGGTTATCACCCAACCCTAGTGTGTGTCTGTAGGTTATCACCCAACCCCAGTGTGTGTGGGTTATCACCCAACCCCAGTGTGTGTCATCACCCAACCCTAGTGTGTGTCTGTAGGTTATCACCCAACCCCAGTGTGTGTCTGTAGGTTATCACCCAACCCTAGTGTGTGTCTGTAGGTTATCACCCAACCCCAGTGTGTGTGGGTTATCACCCAACCCCAGTGTGTGTGGGTTATCACCCAACCCCAGTGTGTGTGGGTTATCACACAACCCTTGTGTGTGTAGGCTATCACCCAACCCCAGTGTGTGTGTTTGTGTGTAGGTTCTTGGTAGAGGGGGCCCAGGGGACGGTGTTGTACACAGGAGACTTCAGACTGGCAAAGGGAGACGCCTCCCGCATAGAACTCCTCCACTCTGGGAACAGGTACACACATATATATATACTACCTACAGTATATACAGACAGAATGACTACCAAAGGCTGTGAAGAAATACTACTTATCATAGGACAATAGAGAGAAGTTGGTCGTATCAGAGCTGTGAAGTGGAGCAGAGCATGCTGGGTGATCGTATCAGAGCTGTGAAGTGGAGCAGAGCATGCTGGGGGATCTCCCGGTGGAAAAAGCTGAATTAAAAATGCCGGGGAAGTCCCGATCCGTTTTTAAGGAAACTTCTTGTGTTAAGGGGGGGCCGGGGGAAGGGAAACCCCATTGCTGGGTTTTTCCCCCGTTTGGGGTCCGGTGTTGGGGGAGTGGAAGAAAAGCCCTTCCCGGGTTTTCCCACCCGAGCCCCGGTTGAAGTTAGTTCGGGGAAACCGCCCCCCTGGTTTTACCCGATTTTTTCTTTGGGGAAATGGAAAACCCAAACCCCCCCCGGGTTTTCCCCACCCAGAGCTCTCGCTTTTAGGAGTCTATGCAGGGAATTCCCCGCCACCTTTTTTTCCCACCAGTTTTGCTCTCGTTTTGTTTTAAAAAGGGGTTTAAATGGGCGGAATTCCAGCCCTCCTGTGTTTTTCCCCCCCTTTTCTCTCCTTCTTTTTAGAGGGGTCTAGTGGGCAGGAAATTCCCGCCATCCTTTGTTTTCCCCCCCATTTTCCTCTTGTTTTAGAGGAGTCCCCATTTACAGGAAAATTCCCGCCCTCCTGTGTTTTTTCCCCCCAGTTTTCTCCTCGTTTGTTAGAGGGTTTTTATGCCCGGAAAATTCCAGCCTCCGGTTTTTTCCCACCCCTTTGCTGCTCCCTTCTGTTAGAGGAGTCTAAATGACAGGAAGTTTTCCCCCCGCCATCCTGTGTTTTTTCCCCCCAGTTCCCCTCGTTCCCGTTTTGAGGAGCTAGTGACGAAGGTTCCGCCATCCTGTGTTTTCCCACCATTTTGCTCTCGTTCTGTTAGAGGGGTCTAGTGGCCCGGAAATTCCAGCCAATCCCCGTGTTTTTCCCACCAGTTAGCCTCGTTGTTAGAGGGGTCTATTTAAAAGGAAAATTTTCCCGCCACCTGTTTTTTTTCCCCCCCATTTTTTTCCCCGTTCTGGTTTGAGGGGTCAGTGGAAAGGAAGTTCCAGCCCCTCCTGTGTTTTTTCCCCCCATTAGCTCTCTTGTGTTAGAGGAGTCTAGTGACCCGGAAAGTTCCAGCCATCCTTTTTTTTTTCCCACCCTTAGCTCTCGTTTGTTAGAGGATCCCCCGTGACAGGGAAATTTCCAACCCCCCTCCCGTGTTTTTTCCCCCAATTTAGCTCTCGTTCGTTAGAGGAGTCTAGGGGACAAATTCCCGCCATCCTGTGTTTTCCCCAGTTTAGCCTCTTTTTCTGTTTTGAGGGGTCTAGTGACAGGGAATTTTTACCATCCCGTGGTTTTTCCCCCCATTAGCTCTCTTTTTTGTTGAGGAAATCCCAGTGCAGGAATTACCCGCCATCCGTGTTTTCCCCACCATTTTTGCTCTCGTTCTGTTTAAAAAAATCTAGGACCGGGAAATTTTAGCCATCCCTTTTTTTCCCACCAGTTTTTCTCTCGTTTGTTTTTGAGGATCTTGTGACAGGGAAATTCCAAACCCTCCCCTTTTTTTCCCACCAATTTTGGGGTCTCGGTTTTTTTAAGGAGTCTAGTGACCGGGAAATTCCAAACCTCCTGTGGGGTTTTCCCCCCTTGCTCTCGTTCTGTTAGAGGAGTCTTTGACAGGAAATTCCCGCCCCTCCTTTGTTTTTCCCCCCCAGTTCCCCTCGTTCTGTAAAGGGGTCTATTTACAGAAAATTCCAGCCATCCTGTGTTTTTCCCCCCCCGTTAGCTCTCGTTGTTTAGAGAGTCATTTACCGGAATTCCCCCCCAAAACCTGGGGTTTTTCCCCACCAGTTAGGGTCTCGTTTTGTTAGAAAGGGGTCTAGTGACAGGGAATTCCAGCCATCCTGTGTTTTTTTTTCCCCCCTTACCCCTCGTTCTGTTGGGAGTCTAGTGACAGGAAAATTTTTCCCCCGCCATCCTGGTTTTTTCCCCCCATTACCCCTCGTTCTGTTGGGAGTCTTTGACAGGAAATTCCAAACCATCCTGTGTTTTCCCCCCCCAGTTGCTCTCGTTCTTTTTAAAAGGAGGCCCAAATGACAGAAAATTCCCGCCATCCTGTGTTTTCCCACCATTTAAACTCTCGGGTTTTGTTTGAGGAGTCTAGTGACAGGAAGTTTTCCCCCATCCGGGGTTTTTCCCCCCATTGTTCCCCGTTTTTTTAGAGGAAATCCCGTGACAGGGAAATTTTCCCGCCATCCTGTGTTTTTCCCCCCAGTTAGCTCTTTGTTCTGTTTAAAAGGATTTTAGTGACGGAAGGTTTCCCGCCATCCGGGGTTTTTCCCCCCAGTTTTCTCTCGTTTTTAGAGGAGTCCCAGTGACAGGAAGTTCCGCCATCCCGTGTTTTCCCCCCCAGTTACCCCGTTCTGTTAGAGGGTCAAAATTTACAGGGAAATTTTCCACCTCCTTGTTTTCCCCCCATTTTTGCTCTCGTTCGTTAGAGGAGTCCGTGCGGAAAGTTCCCCCGCCATCCGTTTTTTTTTCCCCTTTTTTTAGCTCTCGTTTTTTAGAGGAGTCTATTTACAGGAATTTTTCCCGCCATCCTGTGGTTTTTCCCCCCATTAGCTCTCGTTTTGTTAAGGGGTCTAGTGACAAAAAAGTTCCCGCCCTCCTTGTTTTCCCCCCCAGTTAGTCTCTCCCTTTTTGTTTTTTGGGGCTAAATGACAGGAAATTCCAGCCATCCTGGGGGTTTTCCCCCACCAAATTAGCTCTCGTTTTTTAGAGGAGTCTTGACAGGAAAATTTCCCCATCTGTGTTTTTTCCCCCCAGTTTAAGGGTCTCTTTTTTTTAAGGATTTTAGTTGGGCAGAATTTTCCCCCATCCTGTGTTTTCCCACCATTTGCTCTCGTTCCCTTTTGAGGAAATCTGTGACAGGAAATTCCAGCCATCCCGGGGTTTTCCCCCCCAGTTTTGCTCTCGTTTTGTTAGGGGAGTCTAGTACAAAATTTTCCAGCCCTCCTTGTTTTCCCAACCCGTTTTCTCTCGTTTTTGTTTAAAGGGGTCCAGTGACAGGGAAATTCCAGCCATCCTGTGTTTTTCCCCCAGTTGCTCTCTTTTGTTGAGGGTCTAGTGAAAGTTCCGGCCCCTTTCCCGTGGGTTTTCCCCCCAGTTTAGCTCTCGTTCTGTTAAGAGTCTATTTCCCGGAAGTTCCCAAACCATCCTTTTTTTTCCCACCAGTTTTGCTCTCTTTTGTTAAGGAGGCTAGTGACAGGGAAATTTCCCCGCCCCGTGTTTTCCCACCGTTAGCTTTTTCGTTTTGTTAGGGGAAATCTAGTGACAGGAAGTTCCAGCCATCCTGTTTTTTCCCCCCCATTCTCTCGGTTTTTTAAGGATTCTAGTGACAGGAATTCCACCCCCTCCTGTGTTTTTCCCCCCAGTTAGTCTGTTTTTGTTAGAGGAGTCTAGTGACCCGGAAGTTCCACCACCTGTTTTTTTCCCACCTTTTGCTCCTCGTTCTGTTAGAGGAGCTAGTGGGCAGGAAGTTCCACCCCTCCTGTTTTTCCTCCCCCTTTTTGCTCCTTTGTTTTGAGGAGTCCCATGACAGGAAATTTTCCGCCATCCCGTGTTTTTTTTCCCCCATTTTTCCTCGTTCTGTTAGAGGAGTCTAAATGCAGGAAATTTCCCGCCATCCTGTGTTTTTCCCCACCAGTTAGCTCTCGTTCCCGTTTGAGGAGTCTAGTGACAGGAAATTCCAGCCATCCTGTGTTTTTTCCCCCCCGTTAGCTCTCGTTCTGTTTGAGGATTTTAGTGACAGGAATTCCCCCGCCATCCTGTTTTTTCCCCCCCGTTAGCTCTCGGTTTTTTAGAGGAGTCATTTACAGGGAAATTCCAGCCCTCCTGTTTTTTCCCCCCATTTTTTTCCCCGTTTTTTGTTAAGGGGGTCTAGTGCCCGGGAAATTCCAGCCCTCCCGTGTTTTCCCCCCCATTACTCCGTTCTGTTTAAAAAAATCTGTGACAGAAAATTCCACAGCTTTTTTTTCCCACCAGTTTTTGCTCTCGTTTTTAGAAAGGGGTCTAGTGCCCGGAATTCCAGCCATCCCCGTGTTTTTCCCCCCCGTTAGCTCTCGTTTTGTTTTTGAGGAGTCTAGTGACGGAAAAGTTTCCCGCCCTCCTGTTTTTTCCCACCAGTTTTCTCGGTTTTGTTTTGAGAGTCTAGTGGGCAGGAAATTTTCCCGCCAAACCTGTGTTTTCCCCCCAGTTAAACTCTCGTTCTGTTAGAGGAGTTTTAGTGAAGGGAAATTCCAGCCATCCTTGGTTTTTTTCCCCCCCATTTTTCTCTCGTTTTTGTTAAAGGATTTTAGTGACAGGAAAAATTTCCCCGCCATCCTGGGGTTTTCCCACCCCTTTTGCTCTCGTTTGGTAGAGGAGTCTAGTGCCCGGGAAATTTAAACCAAACCCCGTTTTTTCCCCCAGTTTACTCTCCCTTTTTTTAGAGGAGTCCCAAATGAGAAAAGTTCCCCGCCATCCCCGTGTTTTTTCCCCCCAGTTAGGGTCGTTTTGTTAGAGGAGTCTTTGACCGGAAGTTCCACCTCCTGTGGGTTTTTCCCCCCC